ATGTTTCAAAACAAGAGCCGAAAACTTCAATATAATCCTTTAAATTAAATTGAGTTGAAATTAAAATGGGCTCCGTTCCATCTTCAAGCGAAATTTTTGTTGGAATAACGTATATCTGAAATTTACTTGTTTTAAAAATTGAAATCAAAATCCCCATGGTAACAGCTAGGGCGAATTGTCTAAATTTGGTAGGCGAGTGTAGGGTGTTAATAATAAGTAGCGGTATAGTACTTTGAAACATGAGACCTCTTATGTAGTGATGTGGAATCATATTTTTAAATAAATAATTATATTTATGCTCTACTTTTATATCGAGCACTATTTTTAAAAAATAATAACTAATATACTAAGGGACTTTGGATTATTTACCTAACCAGTTCCTTCCTATTTTCTATATATTTTCACATATATATATATATGTACAAGGTGTGATGGATAAATTGCCATCTAAATTAGGCAAAATTGAAAATAATGTTGACATCTCAGTTTAACAGATATATTTATCAAAATTACGCAAAAATATCTTGAAATACAAAAGAGTAAATTTATTCCAAAAAATCGACATTGGCTTCGACCAGGGCCTCCAGAGAACTTCGGAATCTCCTGCAACACTTCCGGGCGGTGAATGCTACCAGAATCCTTGTTTGGTGTTACAATGAGTTTTGTTGCTCTCTCCCTCAACTCGGCCCCACCCATAATAATCAAGGGATTCAGCCTGGAAGCCATGAGTGGGTTCTTCTGCTTGTGTTGCATGGTGCAGAATCCTGGTGCCAGATATAGGGTTTTTCAGCAACCACCCACTTGACTCAAGGCAGAACTACATCCTCAAGTCACTTGATGTAGGGCTTCGTGTTGAGTCTGAGGCCCTCACCAACAAACTCGGGAGTAAGTTTTCCGAGCTGCTGTACCTTCGTAATAATCATTAGACTCATCCAACGTTTTCAGAATTATTTGCACTGTCCCAGGATTGATGCCCAAACGCATTGAAATGCTTGTATTGGAACTTCTGATGTGAATGCCAAGCTGTACATCAAGCCATCTCCAAATTTCTGAGGTAGTGAATTACGTCATGGCGCCCAACTAACTCTAGTATTACTGTGAAGACGACAAACTCAAAAACAAAAACACGCGCATGCGCGAAATTAAAAATATAAAATGGCAACAATTTACCCATGGCATCCTGTATATGGATTGACAGCTGAGAACCAATTCCAGGTGAGTTCATTACATTCAGCTATGTGAAAATACCCTTGGGAAAGGTTGTCATTCATCTACCTCCCCCACCGCAAGCTATGGGTAAGTAGCAGGAGAGACTGGGTCCTATTGCCTTGGGTGATAACCGGTCTGGGAGAACGGCAACTTAAAGCATCCATCTACGGTTTAAATAACCTTTCACAATTAAAGAAGCGGGTGAGTATGTTTAGAGCCATGAAGACATGGTGAATCAGGGAAGGGTTCTTCAAACAAAAGTTGGATTTACATAGATAGATAGATAGATGGGTGGAAGCATGTTGGAAGCGCTTTCAGACCATGAGACCCGTGTTCGAATCCCATCATAATTAGTCGATTTATCACTTCTTAATATTATCTGCCTGAGGAGGCGATACTAGCCTGTGGTACCTGAAAGTCATACCAGGGATTGGATCAAGTCAAGTGACTGAAATTAGATAGATGGAAATAATCGATGCTGGTGGTAGCACGATATATATATATATATATATATATATATATATATATATATAAGTTATGAAAAAATGGTAATCCGTATGGGTAATCCCAAGGGGGATGAAATGCTGAGAGCTCAATGTAAATCCGGAGCTAATATTTTGGAAGTACTATCTGATGATCCAGCGTCCTTTAAAAGGGCTCTGGTGAAATAAATTATTTTAATGGAACCTTAAAGTGGTCTGTTTTTCTTTAATATATATATATATATATATATATTCACATTAATTCAAATATATATTATTTATTATACATATACACTGCATATACACTGATGTTCCAGATGTCATATAAAATTGATTGAAGGTGGTGACACCGTACTTTCACGTCAGTATCCAGTGTGTTCTGTCATAGAGTGAGTCATAGCGAGACTTATTCCCGGGATGACCACGAAGATTATTTGATTTCGAAACAGGCATCATAATGAGAGTAAGACGGTTAGTTCGGTCTCTTTCTGAAATTGTGAAGACATTCGACATCCATCAAGTCTTTCATCGGTGTACCAGGAATACTTTCATAAAATAAATTACCGTACATTGTGAACTGCGTCCAATCGAAGAAGGTGAGAATTTCTCTGGTAACAGACATGCGATATTGTCTCAAATCATATACACATTCAATGGCCACTCCGACGTGTTTTAATGGCTAGATCAATTATGGCTGAATAGTTAGTTCGATCCTCACTGGCGGTCCAATACTTTCTGTCTTTTGCCTCACCTAAACTACGCTTAGAAAATCACGATATACACATTCAGTCAGGAGGTAACAGATGCATATCTAACTCGTCAGTTCAGCGTTCTTTCACTTCCATGAGATATAGCATCAGAAGGACCACTTGGATGCTCCTGTGAACAATGGATAGAGATCGTGAGTTCGTGATGTCGATAATTGGCCTCTGAAGAAATGTAAACGTGTGTCGTAGTTTAATTAGTTGTCTCTGGCTGATGGCTAGGTTTGGGTTTGACGCAGACAACACGAGACTATGGATTCCAATTTATTTTTACAAATTTGTCCACACAGTACAAAACCACTCGTGTTAGATGGTCATAGAGTTAGGAGCTTAGTTTATTTGGAAATGCGGGGAATGTAACGGTTAACTATAGGTTTGAAGAGGTTGAATCATCGGGTAAGCATCCTCTTGGGAAACGGTTCCACAGAATAGCGGTTCGTTGGAATAAGCTGTTCGAATGAAATTTATATTTCCCCAGTGGAATACGAAAGGAATGAATGTGGTTCGTTACCATGTGCGAGGCATGGCGTGTTTTAGCTATGAAAATTAGAACTTGTCGAAGTAAGGAATGTAATTTGTCTGAACACTTTCCATGGAAATAGCGATAAAGCTTCACACCAAGCAAGGCGATAAAACCACTAACACACAGAAACTCATAAAAAGTGAAAGAAAATGAGAATACGTTAGTGATGAGAAAAGAAAAAAAAACAATATTCAGAATGACAAAGATGGTGATTGATATTTTATTTAATTTTTCTTTTACAATGATGTAAAAAAAAAACTCTGTATAAGCCCCAAGAGCCACCCGAGGTAATGGGTTACAGAGTAAGAGGGATAGTTTATGACTTTAAATATAATTGACTGTAGACTAGTAGCAATTGAGGAAGCATTCTCTTAGGAGTCGGTTCCACAATGTATCAGTCCGTGGGAAGAAGCTGTTTGAGTGGAACATACATCTCAGCGATGGGATAAGAATGTAATGTGGCTAGTTTGCTACAATGTGCATGATATCACGGATCTTAGCCGTGAATGTTAAAACTGGTGGAACTATAAAATATAGTTCGCCCATGGAGTTAGCAATAGAGCAGCGAGAGCCTTGGGACATTTTGTTTGTGGGAAACGAGTTGTAGGGTGGAAAATGATTAATCACCCACAACCAGGCTTGTGATGGTTCCATCATTGTACATTGATTGTGGCATATGTTAGTTCCTGCTGATCTTAAATTACTACGGCATTACTCGGTGATCACAACGTTTCCCTGCTTCGAGACTCATTGCTACTATAAATTCCAATTAAGATGCGTTATTTCAGCAGAATAATGTATCATAATCGATCCCAAGATGCCCAGATTTTTTTTTCTTTTTTTGGGAAGCATTCTGCAGTGGCTATCACTTTTAAACAAGGAGGCTTATTCATATGCAAGAACTTGCTTCAACAGATATCGTGAGCTTCGGGTATCTATCGAGAGCCAGCATGTCTAGACATCTCCCCAGAGAGCGCCGGGCCATTTACAGAATCGGGGACACATAGGATTCCTGGGTTAGACAGCGTTTTACATCATAATAAGACATAATAATACATAATAATAATAATAATAATAATAATAATAATATAGTAATAATAAAGTAATAATAATACTGTAATATTCGGTGATTTTTATACGTCACTGTATAATCGAATTGATTGCCCTCGCATCACTCGTAATGACTTCCGTCTCATTTCGGCGTCCACAGCCCCTAAGATAACTCTTGAGGCCAGCATCCGATTTAATAGCAATCAGGCATACATGACAGATAAAGATCTATATTTTTGATTGGGTTGATTGGATCTGAATGCTCTACAACTGTTCTGTTTACCACCATATGCTTTCAATATCCAGATGATGAGCAGCAAACCTTATTGCAAACAACACAGGAAAATGAGGCAGGCTAGCATAGTTGGCTTCTGGCTGTTATAATGACCTTTCAGATAGATTACATCACCTACCCCCGACAAAAGCTTGCGATCACACACACCACGTATATAAGGCTGCATATTTAATCAGCGAGTGTTTCTTCATAGATCACGCATGATCTGCACATACATGACATTCATCCTCAAAGGTGTTGCACTTCTTTCTAATAAAGTGCCTTAACAAAGGAGCACATCCATGCGCAATGCATTCAGATTATCTATCAGATTATCCTCCAGATTATCTTTTAAACTCTTCCTTGGCTTTTCTGTCTTCAGTTTTCCATTTGGTTGAGAAAATTGAATAATACCCGTATTATTACAAAACTTGAATGAACACGCATTGATACAAACATATTTAAAATAATAATACCGGCTTAAATTTATATATTTTCTAATGTATATATATATATATATATATATATATATATATATATATATATATATATATATATATATTTCTACTGCAATAGTAAAATCTGTTACAGGCATTGTCAACCATGACAGAGACCAATGAAGCAATCGGATAAAATAGCGTGCAACTTTTTTGCGTGTGCCAAGTTTAGATTTTAGATTCAGGAAAACGAAATAACAATTAAGTTAAAAGAAATGAAAATGAAAAAAAATAGAGACAGAAAGAAAGAAAAAATGAGAGTGAAATAACAAGAAAGGAACAATAAAAGAGAGAGTGAAAAGATAACGACAGAGTGAAAGAGAAAAAAGAAGAACAAAAAAAAGAGATAAAAGAGAAAGAGAGAAATAGAAAGAATGAAAGAAAGAGTAAAAATAGAGAGAACAAGAAAGGAAGAGAATTATATAGGAATAGGAATAAGGTGACAAAGACAAAGAGAACATAAAGAAAAAAGGACAGAGAAAAAGACAGAGAAAAAGAAGCAAAAGAGGAATGGAAGAAAAGGAGAGAGAAAAAGAGGCAAAAAAGGAATGGAAGAAAAGGACAGAGAAAAAGTGGCAAAAAGGAATGGAAGAAAAGGACAGAGAAAAAGTGGCAAAAAGGAATGGAAGAAAAGGAGAGAGAAAAAGAGGCAAAAGAGGAATGGAAGAAAAGGAGAGAGAAAAAGAGGCAAAAAGGAATGGAAGAAAAGGACAGAGAAAAAGTGGCAAAAGAAGAATGGAAGAAAAGGACAGAAAAAAAGAGGCAAAAGAGGAATGGAAGAAAAGGACAGAGAAAAAGTGGCAAAAGAAGAATGGAAGAAAAGGACAGAGAAAAAGTGGCAAAAAGGAATGGAAGAAAAGGACAGAGAAAAAGTGGCAAAAAGGAATGGAAGAAAAGGACAGAGAAAAAGAGGCAAAAGAGGAATGGAAGAAAAGGACAGAGAAAAAGTGGCAAAAGAGGGATGGAAGAAAAGGAGAGAGAAAAAGAAAATAAGAAAGAAAGAGAAAAGGTTAAAAATAGAGAAAAAATGAAGAAAAAATATATCAAGAATAAAAAGTGACAATAGAAATCAAGTCTATAATTTATTCAACGAACGAAAAGTGGTATAGACAGATTTAACCATGAAGATATAGATTTTGTTTAATCACTCTGGATTTTATATGTACACAAATGTAGAAACAGCAATAAATGTAGATATTTAGTTGTGTGCAATTTTTCTAAGCAGCATTGCAATGTCTGTTATGAGGAACAACGCTGAATCATCGACCAATGTACGTGACCAAGTGAAAAGTCTTTGAGTTGATAACGACGGCTAGAAATGGATCAACAGTCGAATAGATATCAGAAAATCCTAACAGATATGAAATGGTTGATAAGACGAGAGACTGAACAGTCACGGTGTTTACTCGTTCCCCCACAAGAACGAGATGTGACACACGGTCGTTTTAAAGCGGGGAGCCGAGCGCGTACACTCGGGCAAGGGACAAAAATTCCCCACAGCCCCCGCAACCGTCGGCTGCGTTGGCCCCGGTGCGAGCACCGTTTCCTCCCTCTGGTGAAATGGGAGGGCGCGGCCTCAGTCAGATGTTCCCCAGGGTTGGGCACCTCTTCAGTATAATTTTCTCAGTTGCCGCTCTGTCCTTTGACAGAGAAGCCCCTGAGCGCACTCTGCCCAAAGACAGGAACGCAACTGAGAGATGATAAGCCTGCGTTAGAAATCCCTCCCCCAAAGAAGGATTTTCACGCTGAGATTGAACAGTCACACTTCGAACAAAGTTCTGAGCGGATTCTGCTATTAGCCTGGTCAATACCTAGATGGGTGAACGCTTGTTAATACCAGGTGCTGTAAGCTTGGATGTGTGGCTGGTGTAATTGATAATGGCTCGGAATTGTTAATCGGAGAGCCGAGTTCCAATTCCAGTCAAGTTCATTATATTCACTTACCCGTAAATACTCTTCGGATATTTGTAAATCTACCTCTTTTCTGCTCTGCTATGGGTTAATTAGTAAAAATTGTATTATTAAAACATTATTATCTTTCCTACCAAAAAAAAAACAAAAAAACAATAATTCTTACAATCTAGACAAATTTTATGGCTTTAAATATCCTGAAAAAGGGTTAAACTGTAAAAACGAATCAGTCAATGATTTACAAGGGTCAAATTAGACTAAAACTATCTGGGCTGGAGCTGCTGAATCCTCAGTTTTCAGCAGGGATAAATTCACATATTCTCCCCCACCAGCTATGGGTTAATTAAGAAGACTCGTACTACTAAATCATTATTATATGAAAAGCAAAAAAATATTACAATCTAAAAATATTTTCTGGCTTTAAATAAACTGCAATGGGTTGATAAGCCGTAAAAACGAATCAATTAATCAAGCTGATATTACTAAGCCAAACGCCACAATAGTACCAAAACAGTCGGTTTACTTTAGCGCTCCAGAAAGTATCTGTCTCCATCTGGGAGGTATTAGTGAAAAATTGATGATCGCTGCCACATGTGGGCTGAAGCAGCACAATCTTCACTTCTCAAACTTGATAGAATTCAATAACCTGTACACAGTCTTATGGAGCATGACTTATATTCCACTCTACAACTTATTTCCCCACAATCGCAATGTTACAAGTTTGTCGTTAATCTAATTACTATATAAATATACATAACAAATGTTCAGATGAGATTCATTCTTTATTTCCATCAGTTCAGACATTTACACATCGAACAAGCCGTAATACTTTCACAATGTCGAATCACCCTCATTTCCCCCCTATATTGTAAATTTAAAGAAATCCTTTTTTTTCAAGTCATCGGTCAATTGTTATCTATCCTCCTTATTTTGATAATCCCCATTTTCTACCACCGTCTCTTCCATTTATAGCACACAACCAATTTATCATTACAATTTTGAAAATAACCCTCTACTCTGAGTGGCTCTCGTGACTCTTATTAGATAATTTTTAGATTTTTAGTAAAGGAATATTTCTGGGTAACTTTTAATGGAGAGGTTTCAAATATGATTGCTGCAGCTAATCGCGTGTATATTTTAAACAAGGTTTTACGTGTTTCTTTTCATATTGAAGTTCGCATTGGCAATACTTTCATATATCTCGAGGTTGAATTTGTTACGAAATTACACAATCCGACATTTCAAGAAATATCAACATCTCCCTATATTCACCTTCAACATCTGTCTATATTTCTGAGATGAGGTATTTTAACTATTTACACTATTTACACTATTTACAATGTTTGGACTGTTGTACTCATCTTTATTTCCATATTCATCTTCAACATTGTATTGAGGTATTGTAACTATTTACACTGTTTACAATGTTTGGGCTGTTATCCTCATCTTTACTGACATATTCACCTTCAACATCAGTCTATATTTCTGAGATGAGGTATTATAACTATTTACACTATTTACAATGTTTGGACTGTAGTCCTCATCTATATTTCCATATTCATCTTCAACATCTGACTATTTCTCAGATGAGGTATTGTAACTATTTACACTATTTACAATGTTTGGGCTGTTATCCTCATCTTTATTGACATATTCACCTTCAACATCTGTCTATATTTCTGAGATGAGGTATTATAACTATTGACACTATTTACATCGTTCGGACAGTTGTCTTCATCTTTATTGCTATATATCATGACGTTTTGGCCGTTCTACGCTCTGGCCTTCTTCAGTTGCAATATATGGAGAGAAAAGGGAATTCATCACTCTCTGTGGGATGAAGTTGAAATACTAGACAAAGAATATCAGTGGAAAATACGAAAACTTAAGGAATCAGTGTATATGCTATGCTACAAAAATCATCTACGCTGACCAAGCAAAGAAATGAATACAATCTGGGAATCAGTATTAAAAACGAAGGAAAACCAACAATAACAAAAAAATGTAATATTATCTCGGTAAAAAGTGCTTACTTAGACATTAGGTTTATAAGTCACCCCCAAATTCACTTACTGATGTCCCCAAAGGCACATGACTCAGTGGATGTAGACAAGGACAAATAGCCAAGTGGATAAAAACGTTGGTTGCAGTGATCCAAATAGTTACTTGATCTCAAGAGTTGTGAGTTCAATACCTGTCCACAGTAGAGGAAACAAAAAGATAAAAATAAAAAAAAACAAAAAAACCTTGAACAGTTGACATACTAAGAGGAATTAACTGAAACTGAGATGTCCAAAAGGGACGTGGAACTAGGACAAGTTTCCCCCGTGGACTAAATAAAGGGCTCAGTTCGAAATTCCTCCACCCTATACCACCTGAAAAAGACCGGAGAGTACAACGATCGAGACGTCGTGGATATAGCAATAAAGATGAGGAAAAACGCCCGAACGATGCAAGTTGAGTGAGAGGGATGTGTATTATAATGCCAGATGTTTTCCATTATATTCGTATTTCAGATCTACATAAACGTCCGACTGAATGTTGTTTTTGAAAAGAATCATCTTTACTTCTGCAATATGTTCTATTTATTAAATGGTTAACCATAGCCGGATCGGAATATATAACGAATATTTGACACCGTTCGAAATCTGATATGCCTTAACAATTTTCAAAAGCGTTAAACGAGGGTCCTTTATAGTTTAGCCTAAAAGATATATCTCAAAGATTTTTCTTTACAAAGTTTTACTTTGATAACACTGAGGAGTTGCTGTTTTTCCTAAAGACGTTAATTCGACTGTGTAGTTTTGAAAGAAGCAGCCATGTCACCCTATCAAGAAGTTGATCTCCTAAAGCGACTACACGAAAGATAAGGCGTATTAGTTTGTACCATTAAACCACGTTCTTTTATGATTTTAAACCAAATTATACACCCGATGACTCCCTTTTATTATCATAATTTTGCTTTGGTAGGTTTTTAAAAATTCTGTTACCCTCCTGAGAAAATGTTCCTTTAGTTTCAAGGAGGACATTCAGCACCAAGTTGCGTTTTCAACTGGTAAGGATATTTCTTTTTAAATCCTTTCAGCTCCAAGCAAGGTAATAAAGCCACTAAGACACAAGGAGTGTGAGAGAATCAGAAATAGAAAAACATTATTAAGGAGCGAGAACAGTATAAGAAGAGGAACCAAAAAGACATTAATTAATGATTGACAAAAATCGTTAACACATCAGCAGTTGACCGAGAGAAGTAAAAGCCGTATTGCTTACCTGAAAGATAACACCTTGGCGATGTTAGATACCTTAAAATTGTTTATATTCCTACACTTGTATGAATCTGGTGCTGTTTTAGAATTTGGTCATACATTGCGTTTCTCGGGGATCTTTTCGTTTCTTTCTGCCTGCACTAACGTCAAAGAATTGGTTCGACATTCTCATAATTGATTTTATCTTCTTTAAGGTTAATACGTATTGTTTGTTCTTTATCGACATATGCATGCTAATTTCGAGACATCGCTAGACCACCACCGTAGCGATACCAAATCGAATATATATTTACACAAACACAGACACACGCACATATACACACACACGCACGCAATATATATATATATATATATATATATATATATATAAGTGTAAATGGATATAAATCCGACAGAATGAAGAAATTTTGAAAAAACAAACAAAAATCCTTAAATGTAGTTAAATGAAAAAATGTCGACGTCTGACGTTTTTTATTTATTAAACCTTTTGAACTGAATATTTATTTTGATGAATATTCAATATGACAAATACGTTGGACATAAAAACGAAACGTCAGACGTAAGACTTTTCTTTTTATTTAACTACATTTAAGGATTTTGTTTGTTTTTTCAAAATTTCTTCATATATATATATATATATATATATATATATATATATATATAACAGTAAGATATATAAAAACGCTGTTCTTATTGATATTTTTTTTTTTTATTTTCTTATTGATATATATATATATATATATATATATATATATATATATATAATGTCTTAAAAAATAATTGTGGGACTTTGTTCATTTCATGCAACCACGCACATACGCGCCTACACACACACAAACATCTCTCTCTCGCTCTCTCTAAAAAAATCAACATTGCTCTTATGAAAAGTGCATAAATTATTTTTCAACTCAATATAAAAAGAAGAAAATAAAAATTAAACTGCTGATATGCCTTGACTAGTGATGGTAAACAATAGCGTAATGTGTAGTTACCTGAAATTCAAAATTTTTTCGCTTTTGTTTATCATCATTTGCCTTGATAAAGTCAAATAACGAAATGCGTCGGCAAGGACTAAGTACTATTTTCCGGTTGTCTTTTTTTATTCAATTTGTCTTCGCTACGGATTTATTCTGAGAACTTTGACGCACACACACTACCCCCCCTCATATATATATATATATATATATATATATATATATATATATATATAATTTAAAACATTAGGAGATCAGCCGATTCCGCTACCTATATATATATATATATATATATATATATATATATATATATATATATTAAAGTTTCTTATTCAAACGAAATTTATTTTCGTCTACCGGCCTGAATGAATAAACGCAGCGTCTACTCAATTATGAGTATCAAGTAAAAATAACGTTTAATGTGATAAAAATAAAATCTATAGGATTAATAAAAATCTGTCGCTTTCATTTAAAAAAATGCTTTGTTTACTGTTTGATACGAAACTGCTGAGATTTGAAAAAATTCGTTAAGTAGAATACGGAGGAGCACAAAGAAAGAAAGGAAATTGATAAAAATAGAAGAGAAGGAAATGGTGGAAGAGCTGGTGGGTAGGAAAACCAGAAAAGGAGAGGAGAAGGGAAGATTAAAAAGAAAGAAAGAATGAATGAAAGGGAGGAAGGAAGGAACGAAAGAAGAAAGAAAGTAAGTGAGGAATGAACTAATAGAGGAATAATCATTGAATGAATAGTGAGTAAGAGACGTGCATTATAGGGAGAGGCAAAAAGGAAGAATATATCCCCAGAGAAGAAAAATGGCAAATTGATAGAATGAAAAGATAGAAAAAAGATAGAAAGAAAGGTAGCAGAGTGTGGAAAAAGCGCGACACACACACACACACACACACACACACACACACACACACACACACACACACACACACACACACACAGAGAGAGAGAGAGAGAGAGAGAGAGAGAAAAGAAGGAAATATCTGTAGAAAAGAAAGAATTGTAATTCATAAAAAGAGAAGAGTAAGAAAACATCAAAGAAGAAACGCACACACACACACACACGCGCGCGCGCACACACACACGCACACATATGTAAAAGAGACGAAGTGAGAGAGACATAGAAAAAGAGAGAGGGTGGAAGAAATTCTGAACGAGGAAAAATGTTAATGAGTTGGAGTGAGAAAGAAAGAAAGAAAGAAGGAAGGAAAGAAAGAAAGAAAGAAGCAAAGAAAGAAAGAAAGAAGCAAAGAAAGAAAGAAGCAAAGAAAGAAAGAAAGAAGCAAAGAAAGAAAGAAGCAATGAAAGGAAAAAAGAGAGAAATACGAAGAAGGCACATAAATTTAAAACGAAAAAAGGAAGAAAAAAAAGAAAATAAATTAAGTGTGGTCTATTAAAGTCATGCAAGCAAAGTGGGTGACTAAGCAAGCATCGATGAAATTTCATGTCGGGCAAATACATATATATTGCTCGGTTTGGTGCCAACAGGGAATTAAACTTCAAACAGTCCTATTTCTCAAAGGAGTGCACACGCTTCACGCTACTTAAAACTATCAATGTTTGCTTATAGGACTAATGGCGTAATACACAAACGCACACACACACGCATTCACACTCGTATATGGATGTGTATGTGTGCCTGTGTGTGTAAACGCAATACGAATATTATTTATATTTGATACTTTTGAATAAATTCGCTTACTATATAAAGGAACATGAAAATAAATTTAGAAGTACACGCATGGACGTATGAATATATTTTAAATTCAGATATACATACATACATATATATATATATATATATATATATATATATATATATATATATATATATATATATATATACAGGGTATCCCCAAATATTGACATCATTTTGTCGTCTAATAACATAGCCAGTCTTCGCTCAAATGATCTCAATTTTTATCAGAATGTGTAAAAACTAAGTTTGCTGTGCGGGCTTATCTCAGTGAGAAATTACCAGGAAGTTGGATTGGGCGTCCCAATGATAATGACAATGTGCTGTTGAAATGACCGCTATGTAGTCCCTGACTTGACACCTTGTGAATTTTTTCTATGAGCCTATGGGAAAGGACAAGTCTATATCCCCGCTTTTCCTACAAGCCTAGAGTCACAAGCGGAGAATCACTGAGGCTCTGGAGAATGTTACGTAAGAAATGCTACACCGCCTTTGGCAGGAGCTTGACTGCCGACTTGATGTGTGTCGGGCCACAGGTGGTGCGCATATTGAACATTTGTGAAGCTTTGTAAAATTGATTATAAAATCTACATCCCTACGTATATCTTGTCCAAATCATGATGAATAAATCTTTTATTGTTTCACCTGAAGCCTATTTAATTTCGTTTACCTGCCTGGAACATTTATTTACTCAGATATTCACATTTTAAAATTTTTGGGTGAAGACTATATATATATATATATATATATGATAGAAAGTAAGGAGGATTTGAGATAATTAAGTAATTCTCATCCGCAGTAAGCATCCACTACCGTGAATTGAAACCAGGACAGTTACATTAACAGGCAAACGTCATACCAACTGTACTAACGGTCCTCGGTGACGAAGAGGCCGCTCATTCACATATTCCGTGGTGGAACTCATCCAAGTTCCTTTACCCATAGGACTGTGCCTCCGAGAGCCACGACTACCATCACCAAGCCGCACTATCCAGAGCATTAGAAGCCGGTTCAAGCGGGGATATAGAAATGATAGAAACTTGAATGAATTCTACCACGGGCGCAATATTGAGTCTAATTCGCTACCTCTTCGTCACCGAGGCTCATTAGTAGAGTTGGTATGACCCTTGCCTGTTAATGTAACTGTCCGGGTTTCAATTCTCAGTAGTGGATACTTACGGCTCATGAGTCCCAAATATAGGACGAAACGGCCGTCCAGTGCTTTCTGCATTCTGTTGAGGTTTCTTCTAGACTCGATGAATTACTTAATATATATATATATATATATATATATATATATATATATATATATATATATAAATAATGTTCACCAAGTACAAGGCCCAAGACCCACTCAAGGTAGAAGGTTATTGGGTGGAGTTGTATTAGCATTAGAAAGATCAAGATAGCAGGAAAGACAGATAGCTAATTCTAGACTTGAAGAGGTCAAGATTTAATTAGCGAATGAAATTTCAAATTTCAAGTGAAGACGTTAGAAGTATAAAGTTGAAGGGAGCGGAAAACAAGTTCTAAACAGGAAAAAAAGAGATAAACCTTTACTCCTATTCAAAAAAAATCGAGGAGGAATATGAACCGTATGATATATATATATATATATATATATATATATATATATATATATATATATATATATATACAGGTATAGCACTAGTTATTTTATGTGTGGAAAATTTAAAAAAAAAAATAAAAGGTATAAATCCTATATTAAAATGGGAGATAGTAAAAAAAATGCCGCAAATATAAGGTTGGGGATGAATATTGCCTTCTAAGTATGGAGGAAAAATTGGCTATAGTTTCTTAAATAACCCTAATGAATTACTCAACCAGAGATCTGAAATACTTGATGCTTGTAGGCATAAAAAGTCTGGTTACTTGTGTAATGGATTTTTTTCGGGTGGCTGATTTACCAATAAAATGACGCTTGGATCAACCCTTTTCTGTTTTGTTTTTGCTTTTGTTTTTATGCTATTTTTTTACTCTTTTTACTGGGCGTTTTTTCAATAAATTGTCGTTTGGGACAACAATCTTTAGCCAGAAATATCCTGATGATCCGTTCGGTGAAACCTAGGTAGTTAGGTTCTGGCTCTTTAGGTTATCTCCACTTAGTGTATTAAACACTTTTACGTTTCAACTTAGGTAACTTTGTAGGTGGTTTTTTTTTCTTTGGCTAGACATTGCGGTGTTGGTTGATTATTTTCAAGCAGTCCGGATGTTTTTAGGCTTTTCTATTTTATTGAAATTTTTTTCCCCGTTATCAGTTTCCCTAATATTTTTTATTTACAAATTGTATTATCTGGGTTTTTTCATACCGACCGAGTATAGTTAAAGAAATAAAAATAAGTAGGAAAGTTTCTCTATAGTGCTAAAATAAGAGCAGTTACGTTTTGGAGGCATTAAAATTTACGACCCATTTCCTGCCCCAGTTGACCACAGATTGTAGATTCCTTTCAAGAGCAGCGATCAGGTTAACTTTGTCATCTTTGAGGGATTTGCTATTGAGATAGAAGTAAATGATAGTGTCATCAGCATAAATGCCTACTTGGGAAATGATGACATCAGGGACATCATTGATGAAGATCAGAAACAGCGTAGAACCCAGGATAGAACCTTGGGGGTTACCCGCATTCGTGTGAAATAATCTACCAACGAACCAGTTCAAAACGACCTTCATTTCACCATTTGATAGGAGCAATTGGATTAATTCAAACAATCCTCCTGTAATACCATAGTTCTGGAACAAACGTAGATGACCAGCGTACCAAATCCTGTCAAACGCCTACATGATATCTACAGCCACTGCTCAAACTTCGCCGTTATTATCAAGACCTTGATATACATATTCCGTGATGGCCATTAGCACATCAGCGGTAGACCTGGCTAAGCGGGAGGCATATTGTTTGTCAGAGAGTATGTTGTGAGAGGTAATTTGTTTAACCACTTCAGCATTGATTAAAGACTGGAGTACTTTGCCAAAAAGCGGTAGGAAAATAATAGGGTGGTACTTAGAGGGATCAGAATGTTCTCCAGAGTTCTTAAAAACAGGAACTATAAAGGAATACTTCCAACAAACAGGAAAGCAGAAAGCATCAAGTGAATAGTTGTAGAGTCTAGAGAAAACTGGAGCCAACTCTGAAGCACATTTCTTTGGGACGACGGCTGGAATCTCGTCACCTCTGCTTGCCTTATGGGAGTTTAATTTAGAAATAATGTCTGAGACCAGTAACGGGGTTATGCGCATATCAGTAGAGCCTCTGTTCTTGGAGTTAAATCAGGTATGTGTACTCCAAATTAGTCGAGTGTTGAGTTGGAAGAGAATTTCCGAGCAAAGCATTCAATGTAGATGTCAGCACTTCGAAATGATTGTATAGAGGAAGGATTGATGAGTTGCTGTTGTTAAGCACACTCTTGCACAGCCGCCAATAATCTCTAGTCTCGAACTTGCAATATGATATATGGTGTTTTATTCTATCAGCAAACAGTAATTTAAATTCTTTGAGAACACGCTTGCACTCATTGCGAGTAGAGACAAAACGACGTCTGTTGCAATCAGACGTGTCGCTCTGGTACAACCGGAATAAGTGATTCCTGTGGGCTATAGCGGCATGCAGGTGAGAACCAAAGAGATGGATGCGGTTTAAGTTGGTATTTCCTTGATGTAATGGAAGAATCGATGCCAGCTTTCACCCAGGAAGTCTTAGACGCACATTTATGAATATGATGATTCCATGATTAAAAACTACATCCCAAGGGACATCATGAAGGAAATCACAGAATGAGTCCCAATCAGTTCATTGATAACAGAAATGTATTCTGTTGGTAGGAAGTTCTTTGCTGATTGGGGGGGAATGGAAGGAGATGTTTACAGACACTACTGCATAGGGGTTGGATATTTGCGAGGTCAGTGACAGAGTGCTTAAGCCACCTGGCATGGTGGGCATTAAAGTCACCAAACACAAATATATTTGCAAATGGGTATAAGAGATGGACTTGTCTATATTATCAGAAATGCAACAATCAACAGAGGAAGGGTAATGGTAGAGAAATAAGTGATAGTTGATTGAGTTAAGTAGAGAGAGACACAGGGATACACATGTAAGAATGGTCTGAACATTCAAGTGTGAGTTCCTAGCAAGTGGGAGACGTTTGTGGACATAAACTCCCAGGCCATGCATGTCCTTCCTAAAGAGAGGTAAATAGCTAGGAATTGAGAAATCAGAGGAGGGACTGAAGAGTTAATAGTTTTGCAGAAAGAAAGGATGTCTGGAGAGTTTTTGAAGATTTCACACTGTAGAATTTGGTATGAATACCATGAATGTTGGAGAAAGAAAAGTTGAGGGGTTTAGGTGTTTTTTTGTTGAGCTGGTTTAGTTTTATATCTTTGATATTCTGTTGGTAGGAGGTTCTTGGTTGGTAGAGGCGCGGAAAGACATGTTTAAAGGGATTACCGCATGACCAGAGTTTCCAAGAGGGCAGAGCTGTATAGCACGACATGAGACTGGGATAGCGGTAAAGAAAGAAATCTAGAAGAGAAGCGTTTCCATCAGGTTTACTGGAGAAACACGTAGGGATGTCAACCAGTTGCGTGAGAAATTGAGTGATTGAGAAGTTAAGGGTATGGTTGC